ACGACAGATCTAACAGCGATATCGACTACTTTGAGCCAACACCACAATCCTGACGCATAGGCGCCAATGCCAATATTTTGCCCACTTCAAGTCAGTGAAAGCCTTTAAAAAATCTGAATAAATCCCTGTCATCTCAGTTTGGTACATGTGGTTCCAAAACAGGGTCATTCGGGAACAAAGCACACGCACAAGTCCGCGTAGGGCCGCTCTGATTGGACGGACCTCATACGCACGTCCGAATGACCCCTGAGACGCGCTTCATTTTGGGCATGCGCTGTTGGAATACCGAACTGAGTCATTGGTGCCGGTGAGTCGTTATAATCACTCGTCGATATGTCCCAATGCACAGCTCGCCAGGCTACTCAGCAAAAATGGAATTTCTGTACACGGTAACAAAAGAACTAAAAATTCGAATGCAAGGATTGCACCGGGACTTTTTTCAGCTTTAAGATGTGAACAAATAGGCGTAATGAATGTTAATTTATTACATTCGTGCAATGGATAGAATTTTATTTAATGAAGTCACCTTGTGCCATAAAGGTTTTCATACTTGTCGAAAGACCTCCCCTTCCTTTGAAAGAATTCTTTCAAACTCCCTTTCGTCAAACAAGTATGTATTGGTACGGTGGAAACGCATATTTCTTTACTTCCTGTACTGTCTATTGTACAATTAGTTCTTGTTAGAAGTAATAATTACCGCCTGCCAGACGCTACATGCGAATTTGAATGGAGGGACCGGAACCCAATAGGCCATTGCCTCCAACATACAATACAGGGCGGAGTGTAAAAATCGCTTGCCTGCAACTGGTACATCATGTCAATGTCCGCCTTGTAATGACCAGAACCAGTGAATTTGGAAACGGCGGCACAATACCCTTGGATTCAATAGGGCGCCCTCTCTATGTTTATTACTAGGTTGGTTGCCTTGCAATAGTGAGTGCGTGAGTGGCATTTCGACACTGTGACAACGCGGGAATGGGTGGATTTCAGTCGCAAGAGCGTACTGACTGATTTTGGGAAGGGACATAATATGCCCTGCATTTCTATGCAGAGTTCAGATATGAAGGTGGGCTGGGAGTTATCAAAATTGGCGAGTAGGAATGCAGAGATTATTGCTGTGTCTTGTGGTGGTTGCCCAAAGATGTGATGAGCCCGTTTTCGATATTTTCAATGTCATGAAAAAGTCAGGAATACGCACGAGTGCTAGGTCTGCCCGACCAATCAGCACGACCGTGCGCCAATTACTTGGCCATGTTCTAACAGGTGCAGACGTCAAATGCCTTACATCGAATGACCTCGCCTTTTTTGTAATGTCATGCCATTATGATGAGAATGATTTGTCTTTTCTATGATTCGCAAGGATGAGCCTGGGCACGTGATCTCATTAGCGGACGGAGAAAGGGAGGTATCCACCCCCAGGTATTTACAGGAGATTTTTTTTACCTTGCTTCCTCGTTTTTCTTCCTCCTCGAAGCGTGTAAAAAGTCCCCCCCCCACCCATACACACCCAAGGTCGGAAAGTAACATTTTAAAGAATTCTTTACGCTCCCTGAAAAATCAAGACTGCCTCCAGCACATCGCCACTACGGCGGGTCCTTCTGACTTCGTCACTACGGAGGGTCTTGCTGACCAGTACAGATGTCTCCGAATGAATAAATTCTCCGACTCAAATTTATTAAACTTTTGACTAAATACATCCGAATTTGTAAGGTTGGACTGGCTTGATATGGCTAATAACTTCCGATCAATACAGTTGCAACAGATTAAAACAATTATTACATTAATTTTCCTGTCTTAATAGAAAACAGAAATTGTGCACCTCCAAAACAGTATATTTGTGGATGAAATATTATTTGAAAGCCCAAAGCTCTTAAAAGAGTACGTTTTTGGATGAGCTGAAAGACCTAGTGGTTTTGCTAAGGGCAACAGATGCAAGAACTTGTGTGATGAGTGTCCTTAGCAACTTTTCCATCATATCCATTGCAAGACTGTCTCGCCTGACGGAGTCTCGCCCTGTGCAAGTATGGGCCACGTCCGACTTACTGACTCGTAAGGCTTGAACTACAATGTGATGTGATCTGCGAAAGCCTTCAAAAAAGTCATGGTGAACTTTGTCATTTTTAAGCAAATCAGTATCAAATGATTATTATTGATCTGGAGACTTTCCTGTTTTTAAAACTGTTGAATTCGTGATTCTAGACAACCTAGAGTCACGTTGCAGACAACCTAGAATCGTAATTGATTAAAATATATATCTAAAAACAAGAGTGTGTCCATATTAAATTGAAGTTTATAATGTTCCCAAATGACAAAGCTCACCGTGTGAAAGGTTTTCGCAGAACACTCACACATACACATGCGTATTACATACACACAAGCATTATGGGAAATGCATGGAGCTGCAGCTTCCATAGGTTTGTGTGTTATTTCCAGTTACAAGTGAATGCGGATGTGGCTTATATTCCGGGAAATCTGCAAAACACGTTGCCGTCCGTCCGCAGCCTCTGCTACGGCTGCAGTTGTTTTGCACTCATAATTTTAACACAGTGAACAGTCCTAGCCCTTAGACAGCAAAGCTTGTGTGATACTTGACCTGGCAAGGGGAGGGCGGAGCGTAAAGATTGACGTCAATGCAAATTGCGCATTTTAGTTCTCATTTCCGTCACATGTGAAGTTTTCAATTTGAACACCCAAACAGGAACTGTTAGCGCTTGAGCAGTGTTAATTGTCTTCCAAAGCATACATATTTAGAACAGTTTTCTGCTGACTTTGGGTGGTTTAATTTTGTCGTCAAAGTGGAATCCAGCTTTCTGCTTAGTGAAAAGTTTAAAGCAGATATTAAATGGTTGGTCAACACCAGAAAGTCTACATTTTCTGTTTTAACAAAGAGTAACAATAATTGGTTTGTTCATTTTGGGGCCTCATACCTTTATGGTCACATACTTTCACCCCGGCAAAAATGTTATGGGTCATCTCCAAAGGCTATAACGTCGATCCTCCTTTTTTTGGAGACATACGATTTACGCCAAGGATGCGAAACTTAAGACTGAGTTAAGGTCACGGGGAACCACAATCAGTACACTGCACACATGCACCCACCGCATATCGGTCAGCCAAGGGGTTTCTTAACGGCAACCTTACCATAATTTAGGCTTAAATTTAGCTCTTCAAATAGATTAAGATTGGACTGCAGTAGGACCCAGGAAAAGGGAGTTACACACCGGTGTCGGTTGATAAAAGGCCAACACCTCTCGCCCATGCCAAAGCTGCTTACCTCTATAAGAACCATCTCCGAGCCTGTGCAATATACTTACAGACCAATATTTGCTCAAAAATGATACAAGCTGTGCTTTTATTACGGGTCTCATTCAAATACCTATATCAGATATCGCGGCATTGTATACTCATAACCCGTATTGGCCCTCTATCCAATTAGTAAGTCGGGTAAATCTAACAGCATAATTACTGGTTAATGCCTGCCTGCATACATTACATTAATGTAGGAGTTACGCTTTGATCACATTAGCTAAATTTACGCTAAATCTGACTTGAAAGACTCGGGGCTGAGTTAGCCGCCCCTGTATTCTATCGAAAATGGACTGTTGTTTAAATGTGAGGTAATGTCCAAATATTCTTCGTGATTGGGTAGACATTTTAAGTACAGGCAAACCCAGTGAATTTACAGGAATAATGGCAGCCAAGGGTGCCAAATATTTCCTATAAATTACACAGACAAGTACCTGAGATACGAAAGCAAGTTAACGATTTCGGCTCCAATTTCGCTGCTTGCCCCTTTTAATTTGCGGCAACAGTGGCCGAACATTTTCCTGGCAATGTGACCCATAGCTGCCAGGCAAGTTCCCGTAAAAGTACATACTGAATTTTTGTACAGACCGGAAAATAAAAAAAGTGGGGTCATTATGAGACCATGATGGAAAGAATAGGAACCCCAAAATGTTAGGGCATTATAGGCCCCTAGCTTCTATATTTGGGTGGTCTACAGGCGTACTAAATTTCAATCAAATCGACCTTGCAGACAGTAGCGATCGGTGGTGATCCCCCGAGCTGTAAGGTCAACAGAAATAACATGTCTATTAACAGGCTTAATGGTGGTGTTTCAGGAAAATTGCCGTTGAAAGAAATTAATTGACCTTTTCTACAATGAAAAAAAAAATCGACAGTCTGTTTGTTGAAAGTACCATGACGTCTATTTTGTTCTAGAATGATTATGAAGTTTGCACGAGTTCAAATGTATATGTCATTAATCATTAATTGAAAGCACTAGGCAATGCAGAAGCAGCTAAAAGGTGACTGTTGCCTTGCACTTTAATTGCACACTAAACTTCTTCCGCCTGCATAAAATGACAAAAATGTCAGTGATGAATAAATCTCCACTTCAAAAGGAAGGGCCGGAACGACATGTATATTTAGCATCGTCTATAGGTCATGGGTTCATTTGCACATAGAATTGAAATATTTTAGATTTTATCTCGAGTCAATGTATTCAAAGAACACAAATGCTTATATGCACACAACTTAATTCAAGGCTTTGTTCCAACCGAAAGATGGATTGCTGATTTCCGTCTTGAAAGAAATACATTTTAAAATTCTATCACAATACCGGATTATAAATTTGCTGTGATTTTTTGCAGTTCCAACACAGCCTGTTATACCATGGTTATGCAAACCTCAGCCGGCAGCATGATTATTACATGCATGCTTTGTCTTGGATGCCTGGGCATTATAGTAAGGCCTAATACATACCCAGCACCGCGTTCATATCGATGATTTGGCGACACGATAGAGAGCTGTGCTCTCGTAAAAATTTGCGTACCTCGGAGCGGCGATTTGCGTCACGGCCTGGGACGTTACCATAGCAACTAATAGGGAGTCTCGAGGCACGGCCGCGCCCCCCTCGAAGCCTGGAATGACGTCACAAATTGACGTCCGCGAGAGAAAACTCCCGCGACGTTGTGCGTGTGTTTTTGGCACGCCGTGTGTACAGTACACAGTACGTGGAAGAGCACGATCGTCCCTAGCCCTACGTACGTGCGTAAATCGAATGGGGGGTGTTGTGGAGTTACCGTGGGGTGAGGTGATGTGGCACTAGTGGTGGTGTCTACTCGGCCGGTCCCGATTTACCCCATCCACCACCCTCTTTTTGGACAGAAAAAAAAACACACAGTCACTGAGTTAAAGGACACGTTTATTTTGTTGCTTTTTGAGACGGGATCTGCTTTGGGACGGGTTCCACGCGCAGGGAGAAACACTAACGCCGGCGCTGGTTGTTGTTGTTGTTGTCAGCGTGCATCCGTCAGCGGGCCGACCGTGGAAATGACTCAGGAGTCGGCGGTTGGGGGTTTGTGTTGTACCGGTCCACCGCAAGTAGCTGGGCCTTGATTGATGGTGCGTCCGTGCGTAAGTGACAAACCCAGCTTTTCTTCCCAAAAACATTTCATCAGAAGGAGGTGATACAGAATTAATGACGTGGAAACGTTCATACTTTGGCGTTTATAATCTGAAAAAGTCACATTTTAATCTGTCAGTCACGACTGTGTTGGGTTGCCGTGAAAATGATTGTTCCTGTGTGGTTCTTCGTTGGAAAGACTAAGGGACGCAAGAACGATTGGAACATCGTACAAAGCGCTTGGCTGACGACGGCCTTGATAAAAACACCAGAACAAATATTATGACCATCGGGTCGTTATCTTCAGATGTTATTTATTTTTCTAAATCTGAAATCATACCCCCTACTGTGCTTCATGGTTGCAGGTCATCACAGGATTGGAAGACAAGTTCTGGAAAAGATTGGTTCATTAAAATCATCCTTGATTTTCAGACCACAGTTGTGTTGGAGCGGAAGGATTAACACTCTGAGGTACAGAAAAGACACGGAAAATGGTCGTCATGGCAACGGAGACACAGGGCAAGCCTCGTCGGGGCCACATCAGAGTCGGTTTCTACGACATCGACAAGACCATCGGGAAAGGGAACTTTGCCGTGGTCAAGTTGGCCAAACACCGCATCACAAAATCTCAGGTGAGAGCACGACCTCATAATTATAAAAGACGAAGAATCCCTTCTCAGCTCAAAGTAATTCGTGATTTGCAGTACATGGACAGTATGCCCACTGCCTTTATCCCCAACTAGGTCTTTTGAACAATGGGTCATTCTATAAATTTAGCGTCCGATTTTTGCCTGTTCCTTTTACATCTGGTGTATGATTTTTTAATGTTTAGAACTCCTTCTGAACTTCCCAAGATGAACGGGTACTGCACATTACCTGCTTTTAAAACAAATAAACATACATGTACATGTATAGGTTGAAATCAATTTCAGTAATAAAGCCCTTGTTGAAGTATACATGAATTACAGGTACATGGCAGGGACAGAAAAATGTCACACGTTGAACCCCAAAGTTATAGAATGACCCCAATGGCTTATAGTGCGTTAAACATCAGTAACGGCGTTGCGCAAAGTTTATTTGGTACTGCTCTTTGTGGTACATGTACACGTATATTAGGAGTTAAACGTTGTATTGAAATTTGTAATATTGCAGTATAATCACTACTTTTAGTTGACAGAATTGTACTCTATTGACTTTTTCCACCACACTGAATTGCAAACATCCTTAATTAATTTAAACCCTCTTGTGACCGTTAAGCAATATTTTGAAGCTCTCATGTTTATGGAGTCCATGTATCCGTTAATCCCATGAGCGTGGATAGAACACAGGATAATGTACCGTACACTAGTGTATGTGTGGGACACTTCATTACACCGTCATGTTTCATGTCCCTAAAGAATTCCATCTGTGGACGCCACTTATTTTTTCCTGCAGTGACCTAGTATTAGCCATCTGTGAAAGCAATAAAAATGTTCTGAAAAGTCAAATTTAGCAGAGAAATTTTATGGAGGTATTCGCAATTGTTCAGATCAGTCTCATAGGGTTTGTGCAGAGGGTTTCAAGTGGCATCCATATGGAATTCTTTCCCGTGTTCTGCAAGTGGAATACGGAATATCTCTTTTTAAAGCAAGCCTGACGGACCCATGTACCACATTTCTCTATTATGCAGCTCTCTGAGTAATTTTGTGTATTAAGGAACACAGTGGATGTGCTTGTAAATCACCTGCATAGTTTTATTCCCTTGGAATAGTGCAAAAGTCGCCGCTGTAATGGAGCTGGACCCAATTTCATGGCCTTGTTTACCGCAAGAGAAAAATCTATGCTTACCGTAGAAAATTCTTCGCTTACGGAAAATATATTTCACGGATTAGCAAGGAACTTTGGCTTGTATGCATGCATATCCCGTAACTAAGGATTCAGTGCTTATTAAAGATTAGTGCAGAATTTTTCTGCAAGCACTGTAAGCCATGTCAGCACAGAATGGAGATTGTAAGTGTGGGATTCAGGGTAAACAGAACCGTGAAACTGGGTCCCAATATACATGTACCTTATACATGTGTACAGTTAAATTGCACAGTCTAATAATGAGAGATTTGCCTATCAGGAGGTTATACTGTACATTTGATGAAGGATATAATTTGCTTGAAGACACCTGTTACAGATCTATACTCACCTATACATGTACAGACCTCCCAGATCTTCAAAGTCCTAAGAAGAATTTATGGAGGAAAGGGATGAATTCCTACAGTCACTCCACAACTTGGGAAATGTGCTGTTTCGTTCTTACTGAGCTGCCTATTTGTACGATACGACAGCCTGCCTTTTAAAGAAAGTCAGGATTAGTACAGGAACAAGCCCTTGATTCCTCCACCCACCCCTCCCCCACCATTTAGGCAACATCCACAGTTCTGCAATCGGAGCACTGTTGAATCCATCGATACCAAATGCCCACCCCCCCAACTGGCATATTTCAGGTACTGGTACACCCCAGGAATCAGTCTGACCAATCTGGGCACTCCTTAATCTGGCCAATGTACACAATGACAGTTCAGAGGTCAAGACTGGATCCTCTGTACTTAAACTTGGGTTGCTGATGACAAAATGCATTTTTGGAGATAGAAATTTGTAATTTGTCACATTTGGCGCAAAACGCAAGGAAAGAGCATTGTTTGTTTACTGTAAGTACTAAATATTGCCATCATGGACATCTCAAAACAACTCATTAGGCCCTGTTTGCATCGGTGAGCAGGGCAACAGGCTATAACTGGCATGAAATTAAATGTATGTGGTAGTTTGTTCCTCCAGCGTCTATTTTACAGTTTTGAAAAGCAAGGATAGAACAGAATTTACTCTCTTGTTTTTAACCAGTAGAATTAACTTTTGACCCAATACACGTGTCACACATCTTCGTATACATATGTACATCAACAGAAGCATAAAATTTGAAAGCCAAAGTCTACATGTACATTCCAACCTTACATGTATTTGCTGAATTAAACATAGACTTCTGAAAAAAAATTCGCTGCAGTTGGAATGTGGTGGTGCTGGCAACAACTGTAATTTGTAAAAGTTACCTGTCCCGTACAACATTTGTATGTGGTTGGTCACAGCTAGGGGAGAATTTGCGGCATAGGTTATGGGTATGACGTGTGCTATGCGCAAATGATGTTGTTCCCTGTGCACAACCTTGGTAATGGCAACTCGGCATATATGTGAGCACCCCTTTTTCCTAGGCCTACTCCAAATTAGAACTGTGATCTTCTGAACTTTGTGGCAGGGCCATAAATTGCCCAGTACTCTGGCCATTTCCTGCTTCGGTTGTGTGCACATCAAGCCGTGATCAAACCAACCAGCCAGCTTGGCTCCAAGTCAACAGTGTCATGTGACTCATCAATCTGAGGAGCCTGCGTCTATCCCCCCCTCTGTTTAGTATTTTTTTGGGGGGCGGTGGAGGTTATGCTGTCGTCCCACCTTTCAAAAATTAACTGGGTCATGCGGTTCAAGCGTGCTGGTGGGGAGAAGTTGTTCCAGTGGGGGTGAGGTCTACCGATAGGTTACTGTCCCAGGCACACTTTGTTGCTCGTGGTACTGTACTGGTACAAAACTCTGGACAATGCACAAATTTGACAAAAAATTGGTTGGGCCAAAGATTAGGCCAAACAAAAAAAATAGCTGTGTTTCCGGTTACCTGACCCAACCTAGAAAATCATGCAGAACCTATATCTTTTTATTTGACAAATCAGTTAAATATTAAAACCTACCGGTATGGTGCCTTGCCCCAAGCCTAATTTTGTGTACATTGTGCTGTACATTGTATGGTTTTAATTTATATTTTTTGCTTGAGATGGACGGCTCTTCTGACTTTGTATTTCAACAACCAGCTGCTTTACTACTCAATTACAGTGCTGATATGTAATATTGACGTGCACATGTACAGTATGAATCTGACACTGACTTAGCACCTGTTGCAAATATACGCACCCCCACCCCCCAAAAAATACAATTTAAAGTAAACAAAAATAATATTTTACCCAACCAACCACCCTAATTTATTTTTCAGTGTAATAGGAAACACAAGTAATGTTTTGTTTGGCCTTACTGCTGAAGAGTGATCACTTTGGTTGTGCCATTATCCGCTCTTAATCACAGGAAAAACCACAAGTAAGATTCCACACTGGGGCTTTCAGAGTCCTCCTTTTGGATCATTTCCTTCAGACATTCTTACCCATAACCACATGTGCTTTTAGTGGGACAGACAGGGGGGGGAAGTGATTGGAAAATATCTGATTCCGGATTTTGCATGTACTTTTACACTTGGTGTTAGCGCGCTGTTATTTGCTTTAAGGCAAAATGCCTGGGACAGCAGGCAAAGGAGCAGTGCTTAAACCATCAAGTATCCACAGGCCACCTCACCAAGATCCCTCACAGTTACGTTCTACAACATCACAAACTTTAGATACTGGTACTGGTAGGCTACCGGTACACTAAATTTGCACATGTAATACAGGTCCGCAGCTTGTCACAAGTTAGCAGGATTTCTCAGTTTTAAACCAGGAATTTCCCAGCATGCCCCTGTTTCTCCCCAAAGAATTCTCTGCCAGCCCCCATCAGTCACCCAAACCGGAAGTGAATTAAGTAGTGCATTTTGTTCAACTTCTTCACAGCTCGTTGTACATGTAAACTGGAATTTCACGGCTTCCCCCATAATGCCTTGTTTACCCAAATGAACTTTTTTGTACGCATGCCCAAAACCGAGCTGAGAGCTTGTGGCTAGAAACAACCAAAATAAGTTTCATAGCAAAATAAACTATAAAACTAAATCAAACCTTCTTTTAAGATGGTTAAAAAAACAGGTACATGGCCATTCCTGAGTTACAGTATTTGTTCCCCTGGCTCCCTCCTCTAGATAGCACATATATGTACAATTTTCATACATGTACAGTATCATAGCATGTTAAGGTGCACTACACATATTTTTTTGCTGTGAATTTATTGAAAACGTGTGCACCGCCCATCCATAATCCTGTCTCAGCCCCCGAAATGGCTCTTCACGCAATCAGAAAATGTCCAGCCTTAGAGCCAAAAGGTCAGCTGTGTCGTAGAAAGAAAAAAATAGCCAATTAGGGCCTGAGGCTCGTTGATGGATAATCACGGTAATTAAGGACTCTCGGACCTCTGTTCCTATTGATCTGTGACCTGACATTTGGTCCTTAATTCTCTGACCTTTTTACGTCAAGAAGTACAATGTACAGGTTACATGTACGTACCAGAAATAGTCGTCCCAGTTTGGCATTCGTTAATTTTGTTTTTCTGCCACTCTGTCGTCAACGCCCAGCGTAAAGTTGGAAATGGGATTGAACAAACTCTGTGAAACAGAATTTGTTCTTTCCTAGCTCACATACTTCCCAGAGCAGAAAATTGAGTGACTCGGTAATCATGACAGTGCAATTTTCATTTATTGTACATTGTTCATGATCACCCTAGTACATGTTTACTGAGCATATGTACGTACATGTAGGTACCGGGTACATACACATGAACATGTATGTACGTGGACATGTAAACGTGTACGTGTGTACATACATGTACATACCGTACATTGTACATATACCGGTGTTCAATAACACTCCCT